TATTCTTCAATTACTGAAGTGCATATTTAGTGTTTTCAAATTTCAAATTATTGTAGCCATTGCCGTTCCAGGCGTAAAATTGGAAGCCAGTGAAAGCGTCGAGATCAGAAACACTTCCGATGGAGCCTGTCGTGTACGAATCGCAAGATTTGGCAAGGAAGACGTTGGTGTGTACATGTGCGTGGCGAAGAATCCTCTTGGTGTTGCCGACACAAGATCGACGTATTCTGTTGAAGGCGAGTGATCCAAAAATTATTTAGAAGCCATTTTCGGCGCACTTCGGCGGGAGGGGCATTTTGCACGTTCGCAGCCAATCGCCTTCGAAACGCAAAATAGTAATTCAAAGAAGTTTTCAGTTATGGAAATGGAAGAAGTTGTTGAGAAGAAAGAGTATGCCCCACGATTCAACCCAGGACTCGAAGATAGGACCGTAAATCTTGGACAAAGTGTTCATCTCTCCTGTACTGTCGACGCGATTCCGAAAGCGAGCGTGAGCTAGGAATTTTTTTCCAGAGCTTGGCCATGGAATCTCTTTGGCAAAAAAAAGTTTTCTGTGATCTCAGGCGCCCAGCTCTGCTGATTGTGTGAGCAGAAGTAGGTTAACCACTGTGACTTCCCCATTGGTGCTCTTCAATTCCAAGGCAGAAGAGAAGAGAGGCGCACCAATGAGGAAGACAGATGATTGGCCTGTCTCCGCCCATGCGATCAACTGCACCTCCAAACAGGCTATAGTGCCCAAAACTCACAGAAATTCCTCTTTACCTTTCACAGTGCGAAAACCACCTGGTTCAGATCATCTGGTACAAAGACGGTCTACCACTGCGTCCGGTGTCGTTTTTCACCTCATCACAGCTGAAGATGTACACGCTCCTGAAATCAGTGAACCTACGGAACTCCACTTTTAAGTTCTATATACTTGTTCGCATTTTTTAAGCGCAGATCGCATGTAAGCTGCTAGTAAAGGCACAGTGGGCGGCAGATTACCCAACCATAGGAGCCTTCCTCATTGGTGCCGCCCATTTAAGCGCACCAATGAGGAAGGCTCTATGGTTGTATCTCCGCCCTTTGGGCCTTTACTGCAACATCATTGTATTACTTCATTTTTTTCAGCTGACGAAGGTGCTACCGATGCTGTGCGCTGAAATGAACATGGACTACCAACACTAGCTGCTTGGTCACTGTGAAAGTGCCAAAGACTGAGGTCCGTCAATGTCTTAGATATTTTCAGCTTCTGGTGAATGGGTTGCTTACGCTATGAGACGAGGGTATTCAGGACAAGCAATCCAATAAGGGCGTCTACAGGGGTGGGAGGAATTTATGGGCTCAGAACTCATTTTCTACTTTCGGTTTTGCATGCATCCTTTCTGAATTACCTATGAGGTTTCAAAAAGTAAAGAGGGTAAGGCGATGTTCGTGGGTGGGGGAAAGTGTCCTACGGAAAGGTGTACGGGAGGAAAGGCCAGCGAATTCTTGGGGCATTGTTAGAAGCAGTGGGTAGATGTTAGAATTACTGCCGACGTAATTGTTGGAGTGGCGGAGGAGTGTGGCCAAACGTTTTTCGCAGCCCTTCCATCACTAATGTTGGCCCGCAACCGCCCGCTCACCTTCCCCTCCCCCCGCGCCATCGTGCTCACTGCCTTTAAGTCATCGTCTGAAGTACTATAAATGGTTGGTAAGCCAACCTTTGTAAAGTCATCTATCGTCTTGTGCGCAGCGGATTCTGGGGCGTTTCAGAGAAGCTATGTTTGACGAGCCAACTCGTTCTCCACCCGTTGTTGAATCCGACACGCGACAACAGTTGTGGAAAACGGATGGGCACCGCGGCACAGGCCCAGTCCCATGACACGCCTCAGCATTTGCAGCGAAACAAAAGTTATATTTTTTTTTTTTTTTTTTTTTTTTTCTTGGATTGAAAACATTAATTATGCCCAACATTCACCCCCCCCCCTAATTTTACTCCATAAGGTACAGCGCAGTATCTCAGTACATATTTCGTTTAGCATTACCGCATCCCACATATGAGTGTAGGGTGAATTAAACCGAGCACCTTTTTGTATTTATCCCTTCTTCCTTCCAGCCTATTTTCCTATTTTTTTCAGGCAAAGAAAGAAGGTGAAGAGCCATTCTTCACCAAAGGACTCGTCGACATTTGGACTGATCGTGGTGATTCGTTCACACTGAAATGCGCCGTGAAAGGCGATCCGTTCCCGGAGATTAAATGGTAAGGAAATTATTTTGGCGATCCAATCGCAGTTCGGCTTGGAAGGGCTTTGCTGGTTTTCTTTCGGTTCTGCCAAATGCTCTGTAATGCAGACTTGCAATTCTGATAAATCTATGCAACAAGGAAAGCTTGGTTTTTTATGAGGAGTTACAGTCTCAGCCAAGGTGTGCGTGGTAAACAGGAACTAGCAAAGCGAAATTAGGAAGTCGTCTTAAAATCGCGACTTCCGATCCGCAATGCCGTGAATGCACTAAGGCTCTCAGAATCTGGACATAAGTAACTAGTAGCTACAGCCGGCGAAACCAATTGGTATTTAGAAGTAACTCTCGGCTATTCTTTGGCCATCTCTCAGAATTTGAAGGTTTTGGCGCAGAAAAGTGGGGGGGGGCACACTTGTAAGCGTCCGGGTATTCTTGTCAGCTACAAGCTTCGCTTAAATCCTGTAAACTACTGTTAAGTACACTGTAAACTCCTGTGCTTGCTGAATTAAGTAGTTGCCGTTTGAGGATTTTTAACAAGGTTGGCGGAAGTTTAGAGGGTACTCAGTTTACTCACTCAGGGGTGATAGCAAGGCTTACAAGGTGTTGACAAGGTTGCCTACTCACATGTATACAGTTTACAGGATTTGGTATGCTGACAAGCGCTTACAAGTGTGCCCCTCCCCAAAGGCTATTGACGCAAGATTTTTTTTCCCGGAGAACTCCAAGCAACGTCCGAATTTTGGCGGTATTAACAACCCTTCTTCATTCGATTTCCTTGAATGAAAAATTTGCCCAGGTACCGCCAACGGAATTTTGGTCCGTGATTCAACAAGGACAACGATTGAAACGTCTCCGGATGGCACGTGTTCATTGACGGTGAAAGAATGCACGATGAGTGACGAAGGTATCTACAGATGCGAAGCGGAGAACAAGCATGGAAAGGCTAAAACTCAAGCCACGGCACATGTCCAAGGTGAGCGCCAGCGATTCCTGCCACCTCATAGCCAGTCCATATCCCAATGATGGGGAGGGCGTGGCTGCGTACTTCATTTGAACAATGCATAGGACGCGTTTTACGCGATATTTCCATTCAAAACAGCCGCTATCCTCTCTTGTGATGCACAAAGATATGGTTGCAGTTGTCCAAAGCAAGGTATCCCACCCTAATAGCAGCCGCTGCCGCGCTCAAATGAAGTACGCAACCACGCCCACTCCATCTTCAGGATATGCAGTAGACGGCTACGCATTATTATGACTATTTCAGTGTCGCTTGGCAAAGGTGATATGCCCAAGCTGGAAATGGGATCTCCACCGAGATTCATCATTCCCCTGGAAGATCAGACAGTCCTCGTGGGCGGAGTTATCGATCTCGAATGTAAGGTCACCGGAGAACCAATGCCACAAGTGAAATGGTCCAAGGATGGTGGCCCCATTTGGGATGATTCACGTTATGAATGGGATATTGACGAGGCTAAGGTGAGTTCAACTACTCGTGAACAACGGTATTAAAAAGAAACGTGAGAACCAGGATATCGTCGCAATAAGTCGGGGCGGTATCAAAGGTCTGGAATGGGCTCGCCTCTGATTGCCTTTATTGATCGATTCAGGACAAAAACAGCCAATGGTGGGCGGGGTTTACGACATCCCTCCAACCTCCCCCTTCCTTACTGCTTGCGACGATATCAACTGAACTATTCCTTAGGAATTGATCCAGTAAATAGGGTGCGGGACAGGAGATCCGAGTTCTGGCGACAAAAGAGGCTGGTTCGACGGACGGTGCGGCAGAGGACCCCACTACGGCCGTGTGCATGTTCTTGATGCGCGACGCCACTTGCACCGCCGCAACACGGATCTCCTAACCCACACTCGTACTTTCGGATACTTTTAGTGTTCAGATTATTTTCCATGAATTTTTGTAATCTCCAGGGTATCTATCACCTGCGAATACAATCGGCGACGGTACACGATGAAGGCACCTACCGATGCGTTGCTACCAACGAATCCGGCTCTGCGACAACCAAATCCTTCACTCGTATCGATGGTTAGCGACTTCTGACATATACTTGTTTATTTTTATTTGTTCATTTATTTATTCTAATGCAAAATGTGCATGACTACTTATAATCGGCGCCGCGAATGCTGTGGCTTATAAGGTGAGGGCTGGATTTGGCGCGGCGCTAGCCCCAATTCACCTATTAATAGTGCATACAGGCTTCAAACAGTTGTTAAGGAAACGGAAGCTGACGCGCCATATCCAGCCCCCACACACCTCAGCATCTGCCAGTGAAAAATAAGACTGCAGCCGTAATTCTGCGTGACGCGTTATCCATTCTCTCAGATTAGAGGCGAGAGGTATGTGAGGGGTCAAGCGGGAGCGTTTTACGGCAAGTTTATCCACACTGCACTGATTACACTGCAGTAATTAGCCTTTATGATGAGAATAAATTTTTGAAATCTGTACTGATCATGTGGGCTGGTCAGGACCAAAACAGTGGTTTCTTCATTGGTGGCTCTTTATCGTTTTAGAGGTAGAGGTGGGTCTGTCCACCGTCCTGGAGGAAGATGCTCCAAGAAAAGGGGCCAAGCGCCCTAGCACTGCACTCCGCCCATAGAGTTCGCGCATAGACGGCGTGCTGCAATATTATCTTTTAACTTCTTAGATTAGTATTACTCTCTGAGTTTGATTCCCTGAATGCAATTTCAAGATGGCGCCTTCTCCATGCCAAGCTTCCATCGAAGAGCGTCCCGCCACGGTTCACCATTCGCCTGGGTGATGCTCGTGCTGTCGAAGGCCAACCTCTGCGATTCGAGTGCAAGGTGGAGGGATCGCCGCTGCCTGAACTAACCTGGCATAAAGACGGAGTTCAGGTGCGTCACTTAATTGATGACTCTCGGCTAGTTCACGTCCTGCCGTTGGGAAAAATTCCTGCACAGAGTACAGTTCCTCTCCCGAAATTTCCTCCTCTAATACGGCCCTCCTGTCCTCTTCCCCACTTCGCACTGTTGCTACTGTTTCTTGAGTTTTCTCCCACAGAAAGTTTCCCCTTTCCCCCAAGAAGTTGCCGTCGAGCGAGACGGGGAAGCTATAGCAAACCGGAACAGCAGAAACCGTGACAAGTCAACATTCGAAAACTTCTTTCAGAAGTCAAATTGACCCCCCCCCGTCAACTACCGAATACGATCCCCTCTATGTGGATCCCCAAAACGAGGCGTGCCGTGCCCTCAAGTTCTCTAGGCTTTTCCCATTACAGATCCAACCTTCTGATCGGGTACAGCTCAGCATGGAACCAGATGGTACCGCTCGGCTTGTCATTCCACAGTGTTGCATGGACGATGAAGGTAAGGTTCTCCTTAGCCATGGGACCTTCTCTCACCGCAGACTTTACCTTTCAGGAATTTACCGAGTAATTGCCACAAATCCTTCTGGCACTGTCCACGACAAAGGTAACGCCACTATCAAGAAGGCTCCTCGTGACCGAGAACGATCAGCTGAACGCGATGAATTCGACGCCAATAAGGTCCCAAGAGTCGTTGAACCTCTCGAGAATGTTAAGGTGAGAAAGACCTGTAGCAGGATATTGATCGTTTCCAAAAATCGATGACTCTCCAGATCCCCGAGAAGCAAGGATTCCGCCTCCGCTGCAAGTTCAGTGGTGAACCGAAGTTGTCCATTAAATGGTTCAAGGATGGCGAACGGGTGTTCCCGTATGGAAGGCTGAAGCTGGTTTGTCCCGTTTTTGTTTATCGATTGGTTTTATTGATCACACTGAGCTTTGTACATGAATGTTCTTCAGTTGGAATCTCCCGATGGAGTATGCGAGCTGATCGTGGAATCATCAATCCGACAAGATGCCGGCGGCTACAGATGTGTTGCGGAGAACGCCTACGGATCTGCAAGAACCACCTGCGACGTTATCGTAGTCCGTGAGTATACTGTAATTTGGGGTCATCCAGGGTTTAGGCTTACATCACACCTCCGATGGGTGAGCTTTCTAATGAAGCAAAATATGCCAATTATAGGTTAACGTCAGCGTACTTCAAGGGCATAGTCCACGCTGTTCGTTTGGGTGGAGCTAGCCCTACCACTGTGACATCCTCATTGACGCGCCATCTTTTTGGTGGTAGTGCATCAATGAGATGTGCGCAATGGCTGGCCTGACTCCACCCCTGCTATCAGCGAGCACTGTGCCGTTTGATCGCCACGTATGGAAATCAATGATTTTTGCAATTTTATAGGTTTATCAGACTTGGAGGGTGCGTTTACTGTCTTCTAGTAGAGTTGTATCATATTGATTTATCATTTTACTAGTTCTTCCTAGACTTTAGCCTTTTATTTTACTTTCATTTTATTTTCTAGCCTTTTATTTTCTTTTTTTTGTGTGGTTAGAAGGAGAGTTTCATTGAGTTGAGTTAAAGGCGCAATCCATTCTGATCATCTGAGCGGCGTCAGGGCATCCCGTCAGGGCATCCCACTGTGCCTTTCACGGAGCAAGAATGTGCTCCCCAACGATGAAGGCACACTGTCAGCACTGACTCCGCCCACACCGTCAACGTGGATTGCCCTTTTGAAACTGAATTAGAATTTTGTTGACCATGTGAAGGAACAAATCGTACTTTTAATCGATATTGATTCAGAGAAGGAACGAAAACCTATCACGGACTTCGATGCTACAATGAAAGAAGGCAAGGCTCCAGGATTCAGTGTACCGCTTACGGTTCGGCGAGCAAAGCCGGGCGCTGATGTTACATTCGAATGCGTTCCGTACGGAAATCCGTTCCCACATATCAAATGGTTGAAGGTAAGTGCGTCAACGCGACCCTTAAAATGTCTGCGAAAAGGCAGGTGGATGGAGAGCAGGGGCAATTGGGAAGAAGAACTTTGAGGGACAGGAACGAGCAAAAAGGCATAATTGCCTTGTGAAGGTTGAGAGTCTCAGCAAGGGTTGTAGGGTTCCTTTGCGGGTTTCGCCTCTTCGTTTCTGGTCGTCTACCTCTATCTCACTCGTTTTCACTGAAGACAATCGGGGCGTGTTTTGGCGCAGCGCCAGTTTTTTTCCCATTGGCAAAGCCGCAACGATGTGTGAACGGGCTGGCGCCGCCCCAAGCCCATGGCTCGCTCACGCGCCCTGACTCTCTTCTGTGACCACCACTAAAATTACCCCTCGATAGTTACCCAGTCAAAAAACATTCCGGGATAATCAGGTGAAGGAAAAATGGGACTGTAGCATCCCGCTTTATGGTGAATAGGAGGGGCGTTCTAATCAGGATAGCTCAGATGTTGTGAGTCTCCGCCCAGCAGTTATCGTGAAATGTGTCTTTAAGCCATCCAGAAGAAGGGCGTCGCTGATAGAGGCGTCCTATGTATTGGACAAATCCACAATTAATGAGAAAATAAACAACAGCTGTGCTTAAAAAGGAATTTGGTTGATCCATAAGTTAAACTTTATATTATTTCAGGACGGAATAGAAATCGTTGAATCGGCTAAGGTCAAGTTCGAAGCACTGGAAGATGGAACCCAACGTCTCCATTTGTCCGAGGTGGACTTCTTCAGCGAGGGATACTACCGTTGTGTCGCGACCAACGAACATGGCACTGCTTCGACCAAGGCTGAACTGGTCATCGACGGTACGTCATTTCAGTGGGCATGGAAAGGTGAGAGAAGGGAACCGGGAAGGTATAAAGGGAGGGACTGAAGCTTACAAGACGATGAAGCTGTAGAAGCAACCTTAGCAATGTAGGCTACTTGAAAGATAACGCGTAGCAGGAGAATTGGACGATTTCCCATGGAGAGCGAATGGCATGAAAAGGGACGAGTTCCCATGGGGACAACTTTCGGAGGCGCGTTTTTCAGGAGGTCCTTATTGCCAAGCGTAAGAGAAAGTAACATTTCGATGCCTTCACCGCGCTAGTGCATGTTATGTCGAAGAAATGGGCCATTCCGCTGTCGCGAACGATGACCGATTTGCCCAGAAGCGTGTCGCGAGTCTCCTGACCAAGAGGATCTTACCGAAAATCACCTACGTTGTAGTTATGCACACTGTTGATTTCTCTCTTTAGGGAATCTCCATTCAAGAAGATCTGTTGCATTTGTCCGCGCCGGGTACCGCGCGAATTAAACGCCCGTTGCGCGCGGCCGAAACGGTTAGACGATTTATTCGCGTGAGCGACTAACTTGCGCGTTGCGCGACAAATGTGAAGTTCGTGGAAAATTCAGAAAAGTGAAAGCCACGTTTGAAAAATAGAATATTTATCACTAATCTGCTAAAATACGCGAGATCATTGAAGAAGAGAACAAAAAATGGCAATTATTGATGCTTTTCTTCCCCTATGGCAGGCTAGGGTTTCAATTTGCAAACAGCTACCGCATTATACTGTGATAGTATCCGATCTGCATAGTGATTAATCCATTTCCCACGTCGATTCATCACCTAAATGACGTCATCTGGGAGGAATTAGAATGGATGAATGCGCCTGAATGCACTCACCAAAACCGCCAATGCTCGTCTACCAAATGGCATTCCCCGATCCCAGTTCTGATAGGTAAAAGGCGTTCCTGTAAAGGTCATGACATTCACGAAATCCTGGAATTTTGCCAGAAATCTACAGTACCGTCCATCCATTTCCATTTATGACCGTTGTTGGAACGACCGAACGCCCCCAACATCACAAAGTCGAAGTTTGGATTCGTTTCACGCGCCAGATCTATAACATTGAAACTAATCGATATATCGACTTTCTGTAAGGTATCGACGGTACAACGAATCGATATATTAATTTTTTTGTGGAGTATGGCTGGCTGACCTTTAATGAACTGGTTTTCTAGCTCATCTCCTATACTGGCCAGCATTGCGTCATGATTGCTCTCAGAACCTAAAACCATTGAAATTCATTTTTGAAGTGAGCTAGTAGCTAGATGTCCTACCGTACCCAGCTGAAAACATCGATTGTCCGCGTCCAGTATAGTCATATTGGTGCGGGTTATGGCCCGATAACAGGACTGCGTAGCGTCCATATACATCCAATGCTTTGGACAGTAACGTATCACAGGACGATGGAGCCGTTTCTCACAGATTACGGTAGCTGGCTCATCGCATGCAGCGTTTTGCCATTCTCCGGTTGTCGACTGTATGTGGACGCATTTACTCGAGCGGTCGATAAGTTCGACACCATTTCCGTGCGCCCAATTGGTAAAACGTACGATTTTGCCTGAAAATTCCGAAATCCATTTGCTTGCATGGCTTCTGTCATCTCAAGGGCAGAATGCACGCTGATCCCATGTTTGAAGTTAAGGCTACCATTACTTCTTCCCTGTTCAAATTGGGAGGAGGAGGTGGAAAGATGGTAGGTCTGACTCCACCCACACGACTAGCGTGGAAAGTGCCTTTAATATAACCAACCGTTAGGCCACCGTAGAACAAAACCAGGCGAGAAAAGTCCTGCAGCACCGTCGATGATGTCGAATCGTGCCCTTGCGTCAATCCAGGCGGCCGTGTTTGGCTTCATTAGATCTGAAACTGCCACTTGGGTACATCGGTATGATTCCAGAGTTTCAATACTGTTATCGATTCTTTATGAGGAACCATTAACATTTATAACGGGTCTTAAAACGTAGAGTTTTGTTCGCTGCAGACGCGGGGTGCTTCAGGGGTTCAAAGCATTTTCCCCTGGAACGTTCCAGCGCCTGCAGCTACAAAATTATGCAATACATGTCATTCTCGTCATCCGGGCAGTTGATTAGGGCGGTCGTCAACGGGCCGCAGCGCGTGCCAGGAACTATTTGCTTTTTCCAGGCTAATTTAGTCATTTTTTCCACCTTGTGAAGATAAGGAGCTGCTAATCTGGGAAAAAGTAGCCAAAACAGTGAAAAGTTGGAAAAAATGACTAAATTAGCCTGGAAAAAGCAAATAGTTCCTGGCACGCGCTGCGGCCCGTTGACGACCGCCCTAATCAACTGCCCGGATGACGAGGGTATAACCGCATCTCCGACTCACATTACACTGCTCTACTTATAGCAATAGAAACAACAAACTCAATAAACTTACTGCTTACAAAGTTGTTCTCCGATTCACACTGTACCCGCAATAAATGCGAAGAGTTTGATAGTCTGAAAAAGGCTAAATATAAATAGGAGAAGTCGATGGGTCTAATGGCTCCCATTCCTAAAATATTCTTCTGGCATTTGCGAGCATTTTCCAAACATTGACTGGCGTTCTCATCCTATCAATTAAATCTGTTTTGTTTATAAATTAACTAATGGTATGGATAGCTTGGTTGACTAGGTCTCGACTTGACAAGACATCGAGGTGCGCTACCTAGCAGGGAGGAACACTTTCTGCCACTCTGAGCCTGGGGGAGAGGAGGCGGGGGAGTTTAAGGACTCTTCTGCAAGGTGAAAATATTTCTCAAATAAAGATATTGACTTACACCCGATGTTCAAGGGAGTGTGAAGGAGCTCTAAGTGGTGAATCAATTTCAAGTACGGTAATTCTATTTGGATGACGTCCGTCGCAGTTGCGGTCCGAGAGTCCTTTGAATGCCCCTCTGAAAATTATTATCGCTCATTTTTTTCCTCCTGCTTTCTAGAACAGTATACGCCCCCCCCCCCCTATTCCTTGTTTGGAAAGCCTCAAGATCAGTGCTGTCTTATCTGGTGCCAATAAACGGTCCTTGTAGGCTGTACGAGGAAAATAAGCACTGTATGCGACTGTTGGGTTCTGCGTGCTCTAACTGGGAATCAATCCCTGGCCTATAAATATGGTAGCGGCTCCCCATGCAACCATACGATCCCCATAACTTAGAAAATCTGATGAAAAATCGATAAACAAATGTAAACATAAACAGATACAACCTGTAAACTCACTTCTGACAATACAAATGAGCATCGTTATGGGTCATTTTCAATCGCGAAACATAATAGCACATCTTTCCCTTTGGATCGTGTTTCCATCGTGGGGGACATGAAGAATCAGCGAATACTGTCCAGAATATAAAGATACTGTAGGCGAGAAATTGTGCAATGGAGATCATGTTGGACAAGAAGGACGAATATCACCGTAGTAGCATTTAAAGGCAAATCCACGACCTGGAAAAATTCATGTTTGACTGGTGATTTTGAATTATTTATGGCCGCATGATTATGACGATGTGTTGGGCTGGGAATGTCAAACAAACGCGTCAGAAAGAATGCTTTTGAACTTTCAAAATTGACTATTCTTTTCTTTCAGGTGATCGTTCTTTGGGCAAAAAGATCGTACCCGATGAAGCGAAAGAACCTGAAGAGAGTAAGCCACGAATCCGACGCGGTCTCTACAACATGAGCATTCATCAGGTCAGTTTTAGAATAGAGTGACGTCATCGCCTATTATTAGAATATTCGAGAATGGAGCCGGGTGATCGACAGCAAGTGCCCTCTGCAATTAGCGGAAATCGGCCATCGCGATCCCGAACTTCAGAATCATCTGAGGGGGCGGACAGCAGAGAACGACCGGGGACGAGCAATTTTGATCCTCGACGGCTAATCTACTCGAAAGGACTAATTTGATTACGCCCAAAGGGCAGAGGACTGAATTCTCCTAATTTTGTTCCAATGCGTCAGGAATACATTTTTTGAGCGTTTCTCGTTTTCACTCGCGATTACGTAGGCGCCTGTTCAGCTTGCAGTCATTAGAAAATGTATGGGTCAACGAAGAAAAACGTACATTGAACGTGAAAGCGGTGACCGTGGGATCCCCGAGGGTTAGTTCCGTTTAGATTTTGAAGTTCGGAAGACGAGCGACAGGCAGTCGCTTGAATCGCGCGATCAATGCCATCAGGAGGTGTTGACGCTACCTTAGTCTCTAATGCAGAATCCCTAGCAGATATGCGGCTATTAGGCCGACTGGGGCACTAAATAGGGTTCCCCAAGTCTGCTTAATTGCTCAAGTTTTTAGGCGATAGAGATAAGACGGCTAGGCGTTTTCATGTGTTCGAGAAGCTTTACAAAAATTTCATAAAAACAATGCGAGTTACTTCTTAACTGTGAGCTCTTAATTCTTCTCGAAGAAAATAAAGTAAATAAACAAAATACGATGGAGCAATGCGCTAGTTAAACAAAAGATTTAGAAAGGACAGAGAAACAGGTGCTGGGCAAAGTGGAATGGTAAAAAGTGCGAGAGCGAGGGGAAAAGGGAAAGACACCGTGGTACTGGTCGTTAGGGCGAACAGGGCACGACGTACATTGGGGATCTCCAGCAATGTGGGAGGGAGGGGGGGGGAGTCGTTCGCTCACTAGAGGGAGGGATTCGTACTTGTTTCTAGGAAAAATGTTTTTGTTTCTGACTTTCCTTAGTTTTTTTTTTGTTGTGAAAGCCCTGCGTATACACTTCGCTCGGCGGGATTTATCCGAAAAAAAGTGGAGGGTATCTTCAAAAACCTCCGAAAAGTAGGAAGCTGGAGTAATTTAGGAAGATAGTACGGTACATTGATTGGAAAAAGAGGGTTGTGTTCTGCGAAAATTTATCCCGGGACATGCATGCCCTAGAGCCCTACAGATAGCAGCCGTTCATCATATCGGCTCGTTCCTCTGATGCCACTGATATTTAACCTCATAGCCATATAACCTGGTTGTTTTCTGACCCACTAAAGACTATCAGTACCATCTTATCTGATGTCAAAAATGGTGCCTGGCATATATGAAGTAAATAAGTGCCTGCTAACTGGGCTTGTGATCATCTTTTGAAGGCTGAAAGGGTCTTCAATGCAAACTTTTTCCACAAAAGAATGCGATTTGACTCAGAAACTCAGAAACGAGCAAGGACAAGTACTACCAGAAGGGTGTCTCGCGACAATGGCGGCGGTTGCCTTGTCGCCCTCTCAGTCTCTTATGCTTTTCAGTGTTTGCGTTGGGGCTTAGCTGCTGTCAACAAGCACCCCAGACACTGCTAATCTTGCGGTTTTTTGAAATTTGAAAAGTCGTTTGGGCTGGTGTCGTACAACTTGTGGAAAGCTTGCAAGTGCACAACTGGCTGGAAAACCTCCAATGTTCCTCCGGAAAGGGAGCTAGAAGGCTTGACGCCTTGTACGGATGGGGTTTCGGTGTGGCCTGTTCGCTCCAGCAAGGATGTTCTTTCATCTTCTTTAGAGCGGTCTTCCCACCCCACACATCGGAAGAAAGTGACGCAAGATACACTGGATAAATGCCAAATAAGAAATAATGCGAACGAACAAGGCTGCAACGTGCAGCGACAAAGTAATTCAACTAGGGAGCAGGAATGCTTTGCGAGTGGAATGAGTCCTCAGGAAAAGTGAGGGCATTTGTAAAGCTTCATTACCTTTTACGGAACAATCCAGGAAGAGTGCACGCATCGCAGAGCACGAGCTCAAATGAGGAAAACAAGAGAAATGAATGGAAATGCGGCAGGGTGTTCGGGTGAGTGGGCGAAAACCCACGAATCATCGCCATTATGGAAAAGCAAAAAAAGCGCGCAAAAATGACATCAGCTTGTACATAAGTGTACACTTATGGTAGCCAAATTCCCGTCAAAGTGTCTCATTTGGTCCGTAACAAGAGGGGTCGTATTCGACTGTCTCCACATCCACATGCTGGTCCCTGACAGATATGGAGAGCTTAATTTTGAGGAACTGTGAGGTTGCTTTCTAAGCAAACGCTGTCGCGAGAGAGCCAGCGCTGTGAACGCGAGGTGGACACTCCTCCCAAAGAGGTGCAATGTGGTTCCGTGGGAGGTTTGCGGGGTTTATAAATAAGAGCGATGATTCAGCCCCGAGGAAAGGAGGAGAACCAGTGCCGATGAAAAAGAGTTGCGCGAGCATATCGGGTGACAAATGTGCTGAGTAAAGTGAATTGTGAGGAAACCCTTGCCAATTTTTTGCCTGCTTGAACAAAGCCTCGTGGGTACTTGATCGTATGACTCACTGAAAATAAGGGAACTGTCCAAAAAGTCCGTTTTCACGTGGCGAATGTATTGCAAAAAGGGTGTTTCACAACTGCTCCTCTTGAATGTTCAGCAACAACGTGAGGTTTCGAAATTTTGGTCCAAATTCGGGAGAAAATAGGAAAGAACTGAAACAAATTTAACTGACTCAGAAGCAGGGCACGGTCCTCAAAAGAGGGTTCGTATCTTTTGGTTGCTAGAGGGAAGGAAGTAAAATTTCTTGATTTTTGATTTTTTCCCGTCCCACGCGCGCTATATAAGTCTTCAAAGATTTGCCTGGCTCGGCTCATACGTGGCCCATGTTGTTCCCAATGGAAAAAATAGTGACGGATTGTGCCCCTAATTCCCAATGGATAACTGCGTGTCCACTGTGGGTATGGTCCTAAACTGGCCATCATTGAATAGCGCTAAGTAAATTCCTATGAAGTTCTCGCCCCAGGTTGTTTGCGCTGGCGCGACTTTTCAATTTCCTTGAATGTTTGTGGATTGAATGAATCAGAATGGGTAAGAGCCAGATGGGCTCACGAAGGAGTCTATGGAGACGTGTGAGTCATTGATGCTGGTCACTCTTAGTCATATCCACCCACCTTTCCCTTTTGCGAAGATGTGAGCTATGGGGCAAATGCGGAGACCAAGAAGAATTTTTCTCGAAAACACCCTTACAGGGCCAAGTTTCAATGGGTTCCTGTTTGTCCCGCCACATTGTGGGTGGGTTTTTGATACGTTATTTAGCGTTAACTTTTTTGTAACAGCTAGAGAGGAGTATGAGCAATTATGGTCTTTTCGGCGCAGTTCGGCTTGGTGGGGGCACCTAACGGTAGTCAGCAGAGCTTGTAAAGATCTGCTGATTCCTGTGACCCCAAAGTGTACACCTGTAACCATTTTACAGGTGCACAGGAGTTCACAGGCCAACTATTATAGTTCACAATAACTAGCGAGAAAACCAGCAGAAAGTGCAAAATGCCCCCACTAAAGCCAAACGGTGCCGTTCTTTCTACCAAAGATCGACTATTTCTCGTCTCTATAGCGCTCGGTTCGATTACGGATCGAAGGATTCCTGGTACACGCTTGTCGTAAGCATCTTCTTGCGGTGGCACCCACGTTGGCTTGTTTGTTTATGTCAAACCGAAAAACCGCAGGGTCAGGAAGGTGTCAAGCACCGATAGGGTTCTGTTTGCGTCAGATAAAGAAAGCGACAAGCACGAGTGGGTTTGAAGCCCTGCTAGAAGCCTGTTTACGTCAGATATGGGAGACCTCAATGATAGGGAAGTGTCACAAACCAAAGAGCAGCACAAACCAGTGCCCAAGACGACGGCACTTTGAAATTTCAAACCGGAATCTATCAAAGTGGAACCTGGAAATCAGTGGCTTTTGTGGGAAGCGAACTTAAGGACCTTCGATGTCGGAAATCTCCAGTAAATAGTGACCGGAATGGCTAAAGCTGTACCAAACTAATCTAAAGGGGAGGCGAAGTTCGGCTTGGTGTGGGCACCAAATGGCACAGAGCAGCATGTCGGACTTGTAAATACTAATTCCTTCAACCAAACTGGTTTACCTCTACCTTTTTGCAGCAGAATTTACAGGATAGCGCCGCACTATGATGATGAGGTTCATGAACGAAAAAGTCACAGAAGGTGCAGTTCGAGGGGGGGGCAGGCAATAAATACTGAGCGGTTTCTCTAAGGCACCTTGCCCTGCGAATCCAGAATCGGTCCTGGTGCTAAAGCGCTCCCTATAGGGTCCCTACAAGATATAGGGCTTTAAGTCTGAAGAACGTATAGAGCTATAAACCAAACGAGTCGACTAACTTTGATGGCGAGACGAGTACTTTGCTAAGAGGCTTGGCGCGTCATCCCTGGACTAAAGCGCCGGAGGCATAAACACCCGCGACTTGGGGATCAGAAGGGCAAATCATTGCGTGGAGTAAAAAGTGTCTAGAGAAATGCTGCTCAAGACAGATATCAATTTTCGATCAATAAAAAGCAGAGTTTCAGGTGGTAAAGCCGCGCTCCCGCCAAGCTGAACTAATTTCTTCAGTTGAAAATTTCTGAAGTTTACAACCTTTTACATTTTGGCACTTACAGAATGAAATTCCCTTTGGAGTCACTACTCACAATTTTTCTCCGGACCAATTAATATCCGATTATTTCAGGGAAGTACTGTGGAAATGATCGTATGTGCTACCGGATGGCCCACACCTACTGTCAAATGGTTCAAGGTAAGCATTATCACATTACTATATCGTAAAATCAGCTTTCTATGTCTTGTAGGGATCAGACTGCAATTTTCCGCGTAGTTGCGGTAGCTTGCAATTTCCAGGAAAAGGTTGGGTGAGCTATGTCCTTGGGCTCGCCCTCACATATTCCTACTTTTCAGGCGTCAGAAAAGCCTCCCACTCCGGAACGGCACCTCCGTCCTCTTGAAAATTGGAAGCTACCGTATCCTACGAAAAATTGCGGACTGATTTCCAATAGGGCACAGTAGGCAGTTCGGCTTGGTGGGGCACTAAATGGTTCTCAGTGAAGCCTGTACGGTTTCATCTTATCAAGACCTGTGAATTCTTGTAACCGTAGTGGCTCATCTACATCACTTCGCAAGAGTTCACATGTCGTACCAAGAAGGAACCAGAGAAAATGCAAAAATGCCC